GGGCTCCGTTCGCCCTCGAAGATGGAGTTCGCGGAGCTCATCAAGACCCCTCGGGCGGACAACGTGGTCCTGCACCGGCCCTTCCACCCGCCCGTGGAGGGGACCCTCTGCCTGACCGGCCACCACCTCATCTTCTCCTCGCGGCGCCAGGAGAACGCCGAGGAGCTCTGGCTGCTGCACTCCAACATCGACTCCATTGACAAGAGGTGCGTCTGCTAATTGCCTTACCCGCGGCTCATTAATTAATTGCCTCTCCTGAGTCACCTCTCAGCTGTCCCAGGGAGAAGGGGCAGGACAGGGGCACGGGCAGCCTGAGCTCGTGCTCTTTGGATGTTGGCGTTTGGCTGTTGCACCTTGGTGGGTTTTTTTGGAATTTTTATGTTGGAAGGCCTTTGTCTGGGGGGTTGGTGGCTCACTGGGTTTCCTCAGTGGCTCTGGAAGCATTTTGGAGAGGCTGTGTTGCTGCCACCAGTGGAATCACAGCATCAGGAAGGCTGGAGGAGACCTCCCAAGAGAGTCCAACCTCAACCCAACACCCCCACGACCAGGAAGTCATTTTATTTTCCTGGGAATCACAAAATCTTTCCTCTGCCTTTTAGGGAAACCTGGATTAACAGATTTCCTTCTTGCCAAGCAGGACTGAAACAAACCCAAGCAGCAGCAATGAAAAGCAGGAGATGGCCTAAAATGCCTAAATTGCTCTTCAACCAAAAAAAAACAGGCTGTAGGAAGGTCCAGCTGGGCACTGGTAACCTGCACTAGCACCCAAGAGCTGTGCCATCCTGCCAGGGTGATCCTGATTCCTCCTCCCACTGTCTGTGGGTCCAAACCAGTGTTTTCCCTCATTATTAGGTGGTCATCAACCTGCTGCTTTAATTGTTGTAGGTTTATAAGCAGAGCCACAGGTTTTGTTGAGGAGTGGAGCAGTCTCTAGTGATCTCCTCTGGTGAAGAAGAGACAGTCCTGGTGATGTTTGGGGCTGTGTGGTGTTGATCCATCCCTTGGAGGTGTCTGAAGCAGCTCTGTAGGGGGCAGGTGAGGCTCAGGGAAGCTCTGCTGGACTGGAGGAACCTCTCTGCCCAGCTGCCTGTGGTCCTTCCTTCAGCACAACCCCAGCTCTGAGTGGTTCTGTGTCACCCTTGGCCAGCACAGGAGGAATAAATGGTCACCTCTTAGCTGTAATAACAGTTCTCAGAGAAACAGAAGGGTTTTTTCTAGCACAGGAGGAGCACCCTAAGGCTTAGCAGCAGGTCTTCTAGTGGGACATGTGCAGCCCTGCCCTTGGTTGGGCCATGAGGGGCTGGAGCTGGGTCCTTCAGGTCTCACCTGCTGCTGCTTCCCCGTGGACAAGCTGGAGGAGTGAGCCTGTGTCACCTCCTGAGCTTCAGCAAGGTCCTGCCCCTGGGTCAGGGCAACCCCCAGTCCCAGCCCAGGCTGGGGGTGCAGGGCTGGAGAGCAGCCCTGGGGAGAAGGCCCTGGGGGTGCTGGGGGGGAGGAGCTGGGCAGGAGCCCCCCCAGCCTGGGCTGCCCCCCCAGCAGCGTGGGCACAGGGCAGGGAGGGGATCCTGCCCCTCTGCCAGCTCTGGGAGACCCCCCTGCAGTGCTGGGGCAGCTCTGGAGTCCTCAGCACAGCAGAGCCAGGGACCTGCTGGAGCGGGGCCAGAGGAGCCCCAGCAATGCCCCGAGGGGGGAACCCCTCTGCTGGGAGCCCAGCAGGAGAGAGTTGGGCTGGGGCAGCTGAGAGGAGAAGGCTCCAGCTGGGGAGACCTGCTGGGGGCTGCCAGGACTGCCAGGGGCCTGCCAGAAACCTGGGGGGAGACGTTGGAGCAGGGACTGTTGGGACAGGACAAGGGGGATGGTTTGAAACTCCAAGAGGGAGATTTAGACTGGAGAGAAGGGAGAAACTGTTGACACTGAGGGTGTTGAGCCCCTGGCCCAGGCTGCCACTCCTGTGCTGCATGAGGAGGTTCAGCTCCTCCCCCAGCCCCTGCTGGGAGAACTAATCCTGTCCTGGGAGCACCGGTGGGCAGGGACCTGAGGGGAGCCCCGGGGAGCTGCTGGGGCCCCACCCCTGCCTCGGGTTGGTCGGGCAGCCTGGAGAGGGCATCTGTGAGCTGGGTGAGGAACCAGAGCTGCACTCCTGAGCTCTGCAGGTCACCAGGAACCAAACCTCCTTCTGGAAGGCACTGTCCTGCAAGCAGCCTGAAATCTTATTGTCAAAACAGATCTAAAGACTTCCAGAAACATTTTTAACAACCATCAAAGTTTCTGTTTAAAGTCTCATGACTTGAAACTGGAAACTTCCAGCTGGAGCTTCCAAGGTTATCAGAAACCCTGAGCACACCTTTTCTCTTTCATGGTTTCAAGGAGAGCTGGGAGGCCAATATTTTCTTTATTTCATAAAATATCCCCTCACTGCTGTGTCCCAAGGATGGGATTTGAAAAGAAATCAGTGGATTACAACTTGGAAATGCCAAATATTTGTTGATTTTTCCTTATTTTTCTTTTTGTGAAGTATTACAGACCGACTGGCACTGATGGATTTATCTCTTGCAGGCATGTTTTGTGGGAAGAGCTGTAACAAGGGTGGGATTTGAAAAGAAATCAGCGGACCACAACTTGGAAATGCCAAATATTTGTTGATTTTCCTTATTTTTCTTGTTGTGAAGTATTACAGACCAGCTGGCACTGATGGGTTTTTCTCTTGCAGGCATGTTTTGTGGGAGGAGCTGTAATTTTTGGCCATCCCTCTGATGCTGTGCTGAAGGGTCTCTCTCTTGGTGTCTTGCTGTAGGTTTGTGGGCTCCCTGGGCACCATCGTTATCAAATGCAAGGATCTGAGGATCATCCAGCTGGACATACCTGGCATGGAGGAGTGCTTGAACATTGCCAGCTCTATTGAGGTGAGACTTGGGTCTGAGAATGGAATTTAAACCCTTTTTATTATTCCTGTTAGGTTTTTGGTGGTGTTTGGGAAGGCTGGCAAGGGTTTGGGCTGGGCCAGGAGCTTGGGGGATGACAGATGCTTTCTCATAACCCCTTTCTCTTCCCCTTTGGGCTGATAGAGAGACTTCTGGGTTGGAAAGGGGAACTGAAACAGCTTTAATGAATATAATAATAAAATGTAATATGTACAGATCTATCCAAACCCAATATCCAACCCAAATCCCCTGGTGGCAGTCGGGTCACTGTCACCACTGGTGCTGTGGAGCTGGAGTCAGGAGCACAGGGATTGGGATAGAAGGCAGAAGAGTGGACAGAGCCCTGCCTTGAAGAAGAGGCTGTTTGCTGTCTGTTTTTTTTGGAAGAAAGCAGTTGGAGTGGATTAACTGGCTGGTTTTCTCTCTCTCACAGGCACTGTCCACCCTGGACTCTGTCACTCTGATGTATCCCTTCTTCTACCGGCCCATGTTTGAGGTCATTGAGGATGGCTGGAGCTCCTTCCTGCCCAACCAAGAGTTTGAGCTCCTCAGTTCAGTGGTAAGTTGGGTCTTTTGGATCTGTTGCTGCAAGTAGTTCATGAAATATTTCACCTGGAGTTAAACCCTGGCTGCCCAGTGCCTGGCTGAAACGTGAGTCTCGCTCAAACACAGACTGGTTTGGGGGGGAAGGGACATCTAAAGGTCATCAATTTAAAATCTTTCTCATTCTGATCCATTTTGGGGGAATAGTGGGAGTGTTTAGACAGGAGGAGTTTCCATTTGCTCAGCCCAGGTGCTGTGAGCAGGTGTGGGTATTATTTTGGTACCTGTAGGAATTGTTCTTGGGGCATCACTCGTCCTATCTGTTACTCAAACTTCATCTTGTGGAGCTGAGCTGGACAAGGTGACTTAAAAAGGTCCCACCCAAAGCATTCTTTGAGTATCTAGTGGGACGTGGCTCAGCTGCAGGAGCCCCCCTGTTCTAAATGCTGCCTCAGGTTCTCATCTCTGTGTTCCAGGCCCTTGTTTCACATGAGATAGGTGCCTTTGCTGCATCATCTCAGCTCCCTGAGCCCACAGCCATTAGTGCAGCCTCAAAGAACATTGATTTCTTTTTCTTTTATCTGCAGCCCAGCTTGTCTGCAGTGTTTATCACTTCCTGTTTCTGACTAATAATGGAGTAATAGGATTAGCTCCACCAGATTCATCTGATGAAATCACTAGGAAATTAAAGGCTTTCAGAGGTCTCTCTATTTCTGACTCATAATTGGAGGACTTTCACATGTCCTGGCTTCATCTGCTGTCAGAAGACCTAAAACTGACCTGGTACAATAACTAGCACCACAGTTTGGGTTTTCATTTCAGTTCTGGGTGTCAGATGTGATTAGAAGTTCTCCTGCTGGGAGGCAAAGCAGCAGATGCTGTCCCAGCTGGACAGAGGGAGCTCTGAGGTGTTCTGGTGAGGAGCCAAGGCCAGAAGCTGAAGTGCAGCCTGGGGAGAAGGGAGGAGTGTGGGAGGAGTTTGAAGGCAATGGTTCTGCTTTGGTCACCTTCTGCCTTCTCTGTGGAGCTGAAATTGGTTTTAGATTGCTGGGATCATGGATTCATAGAATGATTCATGTTGGAAAAGGCCTCTAAGGTCATCAAGTCCAACCATCAACCCAACACTCCCAAGGCCACTAAACCATGGCCTGAAGTGCCACATCCACAGGGTTTTTTGAGCCTCTCCAGGGATGGTGACTCCACCACCTCTCTGGGTAAGAAGACCCAACCCCCACCTCACTCCAGCCTCCTTTCAAGTAGCTGTAGAGTGCAAGAAGGTCTCCCCTGAGCCTCCTTTGCTCCAGGCTCAGCACCCCCAGCTCCCTCAGCTGCTCCTCACCACACTTGGGCTCTAGACCCTTCCCCAGCAGCTTCGTTGCCCTTCTCTGGCCACACTCCAGCCCCTCAAGGTCTTTTTTTATCCTGTGGTGCCCAAAAGTGACCCCAGTGCTGAAGCTGTGGCCTCCCCAGTGCTGCCTCCAGGGGTACAGTCCCTGCCCTGCTCCTGCTGGCCACACCAGTGCTGACCCAGGATGCTGGTGGCTTTTTGCCCCCCTGGTTCCACACTGCCTCATCTCCAGCTGACTTTTCCACCCCCACCCCCAGGTCCTTTCCCCTCAGACAGTTTCCAGCCTGGAGCATCCCAGGGGTTTGTTGTGAGCCAAGTGCAGGACCCAGGACTGACCTTGTTAAACCTTTGGGCCATCAACCCAACCTGTCCAGCTCCAATCACCTCTGGTGGGTGATCCACCAGCAGGATCCAAGTGCTGACATGAATCCATTGATAGGTTGCTTTGGTTTTTTGGCCTCCTTTTTTTCTTTTCAGAGGTCTCTAAATGCATTGAGGGCTTTTGTGGCTTTCTGAACATTGGCTCCTTGGAAGGCTTAAGTTTAAAAACCTCATTTCAAGGGCAATAGTTCCTTTCTTTATGATTAATCCTTGGCCTTTAACCCCAAACTTCAGCTGTAACTCCTCTTTAAGGTAATGGTGGCCAAAGCCACATTCCAATGATTTATTGAACAACAGACAAATATATTGTTGATCAAATATTTCATATTCTGTAATTAAAATGTCTCATGCTCAGGGTAGAACTAGAACAAGTAATTGGGTGTTTTAATTTCTATTTTCAGTCAAACAAGTAGATTGAGGTAATACATTAAAAATTTAGATAGTATATGAAGTTATTGTATTGTATAATAATAATTTATCAGTTTATCTTGGTATATATCAGTTTATCTTGGTATGTATCAGTTTATCTTGGTATGTATCAGTTTATCTTGGTATGTATCAGTTTATCTTGCTATATATCTGTGGGATTTCAATCCCTTGCATTGATCTGAGGATGTTACCTGGCATCACCCCTGGAATTTGATGGCAACCACTGGAGCACTCTGCCCCTGCAGCTCAGCTCCAAGATGAGGGGGGCTGTGTTCAGGCCAGGGAAGTATTAAGGGAAGAAAAGTTAAGGTTAATGACTTAATTTGTTCAAAAGAATTGGGAGGAATGAAGTTTTCAGCATGCTGTCCTTAGCTGGTGGCTGTTGGCCTGGGTGCTACCTGATGATTTTGTTGGGAATAGCCCTGGAAACCTTCCAGGTCAGGTTAGACAGGGCTCTGAGCAACCAAATTATTGTAGTGTGAGATGAGACTTTAAACATATTACAGAGAAATCCACAAATGGAATCAAAGCTCAGTGTCTGGTCACCCAGCTTCTGACTCTGTTGGATTTTTTGGCTTGGATCACTGGGTAGCACGTGAGACCTGGACTGATTTTAGGTGTGTCAGGTGAAATATGGGTAAAAATCCAGACTCTTCACTGTGCTAACTGCTTAACTAGAAGGGAATTGCAGCCTGCCCATGGAGCTCCATAGTTTTTTGGAGGAATGAGGGAAGAGCTGGAAGGTTTCTGTGCAGTTCTACATCTGCAGGATGCTGCCAGCTGTGACTGGAAATTCAGTTTCTTCATCAAGTGAACAGTGTCATGAACCTGAAGGTATTTCATTGCCACAAATGGGTTTTTTCCTTTTTTCTTTTCACTCTTGTTTTCTTTTTTATCCATTTTCTCTCATTGCTCTTTCTCATCTTAACTTTTTTCTTTCCTCTGATTTTTCTGTTTCTCTCCCACCCCTTTTCTCTTCCCCCTCACCCTCCTCTTTCCCCCCTCCATCTTTTTTTTTCCTTCTCTCTTTGTTTTTTTCCTTTTTCCTTTCCATTTAGCTGTAGGAAAGAGCTCATGGTTCTGGACAGTTCAGCTGTGCTTTATCTTCTGTCCAGGAGCTGCTTGGAAAACACTGAATTTCCTGGTTTGGGGCTCAGCCATGGGGTGAACAGTCCATATTTTCTCAGAGAAGCACCAAACCTTGGTGCATCTGTTACTCTTCTTGCCCATGCTCCTAACAGGGCTCGTGGCCTTCTCCCTGTTTTGGACACAGCCTCTGTCACTGCTGCTTTGCTGGACCCTGCAGAGTCCCTGCTGGGTTCTTGACTTTTCTTTGGAGGTTTGTTAGTAGAGCTTGAGTTGTTTCACACTGTTTTGTGGAAGATGACCTCACTGTTACAAAGGATGAGGTCCAGCTCTTCTTTCACTGCTGTCTGTCTGCTGTATCTGCATCTACTGCTGCACACAGCTGACCTCACTCTTCAGGTAGTAATGCCATTGTTTTTTTCCAAATTGCAGACTTTATCTCAAGCAACAGCCAAGAAGAGACTTGCACAGTTGGGTTTTACTGTTGTCTCATTCTTGAGGCTGCACCTCAAATCCTGGGGTCAGTTTTGGGCCCTTCACCCCCAGAAGGACCTTGAGGGGCTGGAGCGTGGCCAGAGAAGGGCAACGGAGCTGCTGGGGAAGGGTCTAGAGCCCAAGTGTGGGGAGGAGCAGCTGAGGGAGCTGGGGGTGCTGAGCCTGGAGCAAAGGAGGCTCAGGGGAGACCTTCTGGCTCTGCACAGCTCCTGACAGGAGCCTGGAGCCAGGGGGGGGTCGGGCTCTGCTCCCAAGGGACAGGACAGGAGGAAACGGCCTCAAGTTGCCCCAGGGGAGGTTTAGGTTGGATATTAGGAAACATTTCTTCCCTAAAGGTTTGCCCAGGGTTGTCCCAGGCTGCCCAGGGCAGTGGTGGAGTCCCCACCCCTGGAGGGGTTTCCAAGCTGTGGAGATGTGGGGTGAGGGACACGGGGCAGTGGGGACCTGGCAGGGCTGGGGGGGGTTGGACTTGATGAGCTTAAAGATCTCTTCCCACCAGAAAGATTCCATGCTTCTGTTGTGAGCTGTTGAGCATTTTGGGAGGAGGAAGCTGGCGTGGCAGAGGTTAACAGGATTGCTGCAGGAGGCCAGTGGTGCCAACTGCTCCATTCCCCCTCCCCATGCAGGAGGACACTGTACCAGGATGACATAACAGCATCAGCTGTCTCCTGGCACACGTGGGGAGGAGAGGAGCTTACAGCCAGGGTTAAGTTACCAGAGTGGGAGATAAATCACATCAATGCTCTTCCAGCCCCTGTCACCCTGGGGATACCAGTGACAGCCAGTAGCTCAGGAACATTCCCCCACTTGTGATTTTGCCTTCCCTACCTCCCCCGTGGCAGGAAGGGCAGGTGGTGGGACACCAGGCTACCCAGAGAGGTGGTCGCTGCCCCATCCCTGGCACCATCCCAGGGGAGGTTGGCCGGGGCTCTGAGCACCCTGCTCTAGCTGCAGATGTCCCTGCTCCCTGCAGGGGGTTGGATTAGGTGACCTTTAGGTCCCTTCCCACCCAACCCAGCCTGTGAATATCTAATAATCCCTAAGGTCTTTTTTGCTTTCTCACCTGTGTCATGTCTGTGCATAGGAAGTGGAAAAAAAAAAAAACTAAAATCCACCTTGAAAGCAGCTCCCTGTTCCTCTTCAGAAGGTTTCTATATTTTACTTTCCTTTCTTTGTGTCTGGTCTTTCTACAGCCAAATTTCAGTCCTGTTCTGCTGCTGCTCTGGGTGATGGTTGCACTTGATGCTCTTGGAGGTCTTTTACCAGCCTTAATGATT